TGTCAGCTCCCTGCGGGACCCCTGGGGCTCATTTCCCTTCTGGCTCTCCCTGCAGGGCCGGCCGCACCCTGGGGGGAAGCTCTAAGGCAAACTCACCCCTCTGGATGAAGGGCTGTGGGGATCACCCAGATGGCAACCTTAATTCAGGGCTCAGACCCCAGCATTTCACTCACCAAGTTCAGAGTAACGAGAGGTGCAGTACTTGATTCTGTAATACCATTATCCTCTTAAGTGTTTGAAAGGGTTGTGTGTGATCTGCCTGAAGAGGCTATCTCAGAGGAAAACTCTGTGGTGGTTTCTCTGACTTTTACATCTTCCTGGGATAGCATTTTCAGAAAGAGGTAGAAATATTTAGAGATATTTAAAAAAAAAACCAAAACAACAAAACAAAACCAAAACTAAAAACAAAACAAAAACCACCATATTGGAAACTTGTTGCAAAAGTTTGAGGGAGTTTATTTTGTATTGACAGGAAAAGTCAGGTTTTTTTGAATTCCCAATTTGTGTAGTTGAGAGAGGAGTTTTTGTGGATTTACGTTCTGGTTCCTGCTACTCAAGTAAGGATTCTGTTAGGTTCTTCAGCTATGTACAGTAGGTATTGGGTGAACAGTTCCCTTAAGAAAGGAGTATCTGTCTTATCCTACAAGGAGAAAGGCCTGTAAACAGGAGATAAATATCCTGTCAGAAGACCTCATTTTAGTCCCATGGTGATATGGTGGTATTTGTCTCTCCAGTGATATGCTAACAAGGTAACTCCGTGATTGTGAACTCTCTTCTCTATCTGTATTTTTTTTTGGCTCTCCCTGAAAAAATTAATCTTAACTCAATATTCCATGCTTAGACTTAGATTGATGACCTTATAAACTTGAAAGCATTTGATTTAGAGACAAATCTGTACGATTGTGCAGTTCTAATGTTTAATAACTTCTGCTCAGGAGGAACTTCGATGTCAACTGGTTTGTAACTTTTTACCTTTTGCTGTTGTGGCTACTGTCTGTAATGATCAGGTTTTTGTAAACAGTAGAAATACTCTGAGAATTTCACTGTTATGAAGTATAATAATCAAATGAACTGTTTTCATTTGTTACAAACATTTTACTGTCTCTCGTGGAAATGACAAGAGGCAATTAATATCCTTAGAGTCATAGCTGAAGTGGATCATAATTTACAATAAATTTTTTTGGTGCTGGATGGAAGTTTTTGTCTTTAGGAAAAATACCTGCCATCATACCTGATTAAGTATCAGCTTTCTGTAGCTGCTTAAAATCTCACTGCTACCTTCCAAAGGACTTCAGATCAACTTAAATTCAACCTTTCAAAGATTGTAACAGTGGATTTAAACAGTTTCCCAAATCACACTTCGTTGAGCAGCCTCTAGAAAATAAAGTTGAGGCAATTGCATTTTGATCACCTGGACCAGGTGGTGTGTAAGCCATTTTCAGGGGTGTGGTTTAATGTATGTATCTTGATGTTCCTCTAAATAGGGTTAAATACCTTTGTTCCTTTTTTCTGCTTTATATTTCTTCATGTTTTGTTTCCTTCCTTTTTTATTTTTTGTGTGTCTTTTCCAACAACATGCAGCAATTCGGAGACAGGCTGGTAATAGAGTTAGAATCATAGAATCCTTTAGGTTGGAAGGGACCTCCAAGATCATCAAGTCCAACCATTGAGCCATTAGGGCTCTAAAGTCCTCTGCTAAAACAGATCAGAATCTGTCAGGGCTGGAAGGGACCACAAGGATCCCCCAGTTCCAACCCCTCTGCCATGAGCAGGGACACCTCCCACTAGATCAGGCTGCCCAGAGCCTCCTCCAGCCTGGCCTTAAAGACCCCCAGGGATGGGGCCTCAACCCCCTCCCTGGGCAACCCATTCCAGGGTTCAGGCTTCATTTTTTATTTTTTTAATTTTTTTTTTTTCTCCTCCAAAATAGAGCCTGTCAACAGGGTTATTTTATTGATACCTCCACTGTCTACTTCAAACCTTCATCATCTTCCATGGTCCTTTTGGTATTTAGGGTATTTGAAGAAAAGCATTTACCCGGAACTTCAGATGTATGGTGTAAATCTTGATAGGTGTTAAATTAACCCTGGTTTTGAAATCATACCACAGGTTGTTAAAACTACTAAAGCTAAGAAGCTCTGGTGTTGATGTGGTTATGATGGCACAGATTATTTTATTCCACAGAACAGGAATAAACTGTTGCAATATGATTATTGTGGTATAGAGTTGTCTAGCTTTCATTGTGCTGGGATAAAGGTGGCTAAAGACAAGACTTTAAAAAGTTAAGAACACTATCGGACAAAGAGACTTTCCCAGAGCACTTGGTGGTTCCTGTGGTACCTCTGATAACATCCCCAGGAGAAATGTGCTGAGGACAGGTAGTGCTGATGTGACAGAGGTACCTTTCTTATTACCATGGTTGCACATAAAGACATCTGCAAGAGATGAAAATTATTTTATGATTCCCCTTATGAGTATGGAAAAATGGATCTGTGTGTGGAAGAAAATACTTTCTTTGGTTTTGCTTTAAGTAAGAGCAACACACCAGATTAATGGGCATCATTAATCAGGTTTTTCATTTGAGAAAGCATGTCTAATCAAGATAGATCAGACTGCTAATGAAATGGGCTGGTGATGCATGGGAGGAGAGAGATGATCTCAGTTACCCTAATGTTTAATTAAAAGTGGTTAATGCAGGGATTTCTTTGATATTCTAGGGAAGGTAGGAAGTTATTTGATTATTTTGTCTGAATTCCTGTTACTTGCTTTTAACCCTAGGTCTTTAGTCTGTTTTAACCTCTGTTAGTATTCAGAGGCTGTCTGCTGGCTTTTGAAATTATAGATAAATTTCTATTATTTCTAATACTTCATTTTTTTGAACATCAGCTAAGTACACTGCATTAGCTGTGCCTCACTGCCGGGCTTTTGTAACTTGGAGTCTAGTTCTGTTTGTAGTGAGGGGAAAAAAAGAGTAAGTTTGAGTCCTGTTTGAGTTTGGCTATCAGTTTGGGGCTAGTGTCAAAAAAAGCTGTCGTCCTGGTTTTGGTTCCTTAAATTAGGCTTTTTTGCATTTTTATCCTCAACATGTCACTGTTATTGCTTTGTTGCTATGATACAATACTTACTCATGCAATCTGCTGTAGAATATTAGACGATCTGAGCTGAAATGTTACGTAACTTAATGTTTTTACAGCTGATGTTCATTATTTTGCAGAGCATAACAATTTGTTTTTGTAGTTATCTGAGTGAAATAAGCCTCACAAGATTTTTATTCAAAAGAAAAATGGTTAAAATTGCAGAATTAATATTCAAAAGTATGAATGAGGGAGTAGTACTCTATGAGGGAGTAGTAATTACTAGCTTTTTCAAAAGCTTGCTGAAGCTCAGATAATAGGATCATGACTGTCTGCTGGGGAATGGAATACAATACCATATCCTGGTGTTTGGGCTTTCAGGGTAGAGCAAGCAGTTGGGATTACAGTGGAGGCGTTTCAGTCCATTTTAGCAATTACTTTTTGCTTATGGAAACAAAACAATTCTATCAGATAATTACTGAATATTAAACCCACTGTTGACTGTTGCTGTTCCAGCCACTAAATGGAGGGTGTTTTGGTAAGAAACCAGAGGAACTGGCATTGTCAAAGTATGTTTGAATTGTCAAACTTGGAAACTTGAAAGTGCATGTTTTTAATTGGAATAATCCAAAAACAATAATGAGAAGCATGAGATCTTCTTGTTATTTGTTCAGATTTTAAAGTGAGACTTAAGGTTTTCAATACTTGGAATACTCAGTGTTCCAAGGCCCCTTTTTATTTTCTTGATAATTTCCTTAATATGAAACAGCAGTGCTAATATCAATATTGCAGTGAGTAAATGAAGCTAAGGGACTAGTAGTCTGGCTATAGACAGGTCTTGAAAAATCTTCAGGGGAAGAACATTCCTTATTTGCAGATAAAATTGGAAATAGAAATTTTTTTACCATAGAAGTGAAATCCCAGCTGATGGATAGATGAGGTGATGCTGTGTTACTGGAGTGGCTTAGGACCCCAACAATTAAAAACAAGAATGGAGGACACATTAAACCCGTTTTTCAGTTAAAACTGTGCTTTTCTTGTGATTGTGCAACTTTTGACAGTTAAAATACTTTCAGGATGTATGAAATTTTTAAGTGTACTATAATTAATAATCCATCTTTTTTAGAGCTAATGGAGGAATTATGTTTATCAGATTACAGAGAAATTGCACTATAAAATGAAAATCCCAAGTCACAGCCGAACATATTCTCTTAATAGGCCAAAAAAGCTGGAAAACCTTACATTACAAAGATGGTAATAAAATATTTAGACCAAAGCATGAAAATTCAGGATTAATCCTCTTGGAATATTGGAGTTGATTCTTAAGAGAAACATTCGTCACATGATGTCAAAAGTATGTGAAGTATTTTGCATTAGGGTAAAAAGACAAGGTTCCTTCAAATCAGATTTTACAGCTTTTAAGCAGGTTACATAATATGGGATTAGGGAATAGAATGAGACAAATCGGGTGAATGAAGGTTAGCACAATGCACTGCTGCTGTATGTGGCTTTTGGTGAGGGGGGGTTCATACTTATGTCTATGTATTTCAAATAAAGTCAGTTCATGAACTCATTTGCTGTAAATATGTTTACTGCATATGTTTATCTGTTATTTCTTGAATGAAATCCAAGTTGTAAATGCCAGGTCTTTCATTAAATAGGTATTTTCAGTTTTGACAGTGCTGCTTGTGAAGTTACTGGCTATAGAGCTAGCTATGCCCCATAATAAAAACCTGATAGCTATGCAAATTTTAGTCAACAGAATAGATTTCTAAATCCAGAGTTTGCTTCTACAGACTTAAGTACTGTGTTGTGGTTTGGGTTTTTTTGGTTTGTTGTTCTGGTTTTTTTTCTTCTTTTATAGATGCCTCCTTCAATGAACAGCAAGATCTATTTTGTCAGAAGTTGCAACAGTGTTGTGTGCTCTTTGACTTCATGGACTCTGTTTCGGACCTGAAAAGCAAAGAAATTAAGAGAGCAACACTGAATGAACTGGTTGAATATGTTTCAACAAACCGTGGGGTGATTGTTGAATCGGCTTATGCTGACATAGTGAAAATGGTAAGTAGAATGCTCTTGTTATATTTTGAATTTTAATAAAATATCTGAAACTAATCCATTTACCACTCTAATGGCAGATGCCATACTAGGCTGAGTATAGAGTATACTAGCTCAGAATTGCTGATGGTTATTTTGCTCATACAATATCATATAATTTGCTAATGGTAACTTGGCTTATGAGATTGTTTTTACAAGCCTTTCTAAACAAACGTCTAAGTTTTAATTATTAGCTGAAATACGATGCATTTGGGTTTAATTAAGATGAAAGAGCTGGTATACTGCAGATGCTTGCAGTCTGGATAAAGTTTGAAGTTGTTCACATCCAGAAAATGGCAATATTTTGGTGCTTCCTGTCTTTATTTAAGAATGGCTGTTGAATGACAAGCTAAAGCTTTCTGGTGAGGATTCTTGTGGGTACTAGTGTCAACAGAAAGGTTTATCAGTGTAAGAAAGCAGCTCTACTTTGTTAATACTTTATAAGGCTGTTTGTTACTGTTTTGGCCTTGTAAAGCTGTGCTAGACTAGTCCACGTGGTACTTGTGAGTTGTAAACCACAGCATGTCTTGTACCGTGCACTTGCTGCAAGTGGCTTGTTGAACAAGCAACAAAACATTTGTGGTCATTTTCTGCTGTCTTTCCCAGGTTTTTTATGAAGTGTTTTTGAAACGCTATGTGGCTTAGATATGCCTATACTCCATGTACAGGGAACACAACTGAAGGCTGTTTGACAGTCTGGAATATTTTAAATATTTTTTTCTCAAGAAATTTGAAGAGTAAAATGTGTTTAGTGCCCAGGCATTTAGGCTAATTGGTCTCTAAACTTCAGCAAAGAAACGTAGGCACAATGCTGGCTTCACAAGTAGCTATTGGGAATGTAAGCAGACCAGTTCAAAGATACAGCCTACAACTTCTCAGTTGTATATACAGTGAAAGCGATGTTTTTCTTAAGGTTTTGTTTGGTGGCTTTTGGTTGTGTGGTTTGTGTTTTGTTTTTTGGTTTTTTTTTCTTCTGTGAGCAGCTGATAGGGAAGATCAGCTCATTAACAAGTACGTGTGAAAATTTTGCTGTTCTCCTGAAGGGCTAGGATTATTGAAACCTGTTTAATCACTAGGATACTGGAGGGTATTGTACAGTTTTAGTTTTTAACAGGCCTGTATTTCTGACACAAATGAATTTACACAAGAAGATAGAGTATGTCCACCTCTTTGGCTTTTTTTTTAATTGCTGCTGGTGGCAGCAAGCTTGAATCCTTGCCATATTTTCTTATTATGTTATGCCTTCTATAGCCTCTTCTTAGAAGAAGGAGTATACTAACTAGTCTATCATACTTGAAGGAAGACTTTCTTTTATATCGGAGTAGTTTTCTTTTCTTATAGATAAGGTGTTATTGAGCTGTTCTTTTGAGGCTATTGTTGTTGTGCAAATGTTTGAGTTTTGTGGATGCTTGTGCTTCTTTCCATGACAAATTTCCATCTTCTATTCTCCCCTGAAATGATAGAAAATGAGGAAAGCCTTAAGTGCTGGGTGAGAGCTTTTTCTGAGCTTGAGAGAAAAGATCCCTCCAAGCCTGAATAGTGTTTCTAGTCTCCCTGGCAACTTGCAGCAGAAAAGGTATTTGCTGTGAATTAGGACGAAGTACCAGCTTTCAGAAGGAAATCTGGATGGCTTTCTCCCTCCAAACAACAGGTGTGTTGTCAGGCTTGAGGCCTTTCTTTGTAGCAAAACTTCTATGAGATTTTGAGAATTTTATTTTTAAAATTTTTTTAGAGCATTCAGTGTTACTACGTTTAAAGCAAAAAGCATTTGAGTTTTTTGCAGTTTGAAGGATAGTTTTTTGGGGACAAAAAAGGTAGAAATCAGCCTTAATGGTATCCAGCTATCATCTGACTGCTAGTAAAGGATGAATAGTCTACAAAAGTTCACTGGAAAAAAAAGCCAGAGCAGCAGAAGTGGGGGCAGTTTCTTTCCAAAGTTCCTTGTCTTCCCCTAGGACTGGAACCTTTCCTCCAAGTTGCAGAGAAAGCAGCCCAGTTTCCTTGGAGTTGCTCAGGTCTTGGGGAGGCAAAGTCAAAAATCCCTTACAGATACCAAGAGGAGATAAATGTTGTTGTTGACCAGTACATAGGGAAGGTCTGTGCAGGTGAGGAGGTCTCCTGGCATCCCTTCTCTTCAGATGGTCTTTGTTACGATGATAGCTGCTGGGCCAGTACCACCCAGTAATGGCTCTTGTAGTTGTCCCTGCTCTACTTGTATCCTGAGGTAGGAAGCTCTGGTTGAGATCATACCAATGTCTTCTCAAGCCACCAAGAGTGGAACGAGATAATTTTAAAAAAATCTTTCTTTATGCAGAGGCACAGGACATATGCTGTAGGTTGTCTTTTTAGTGCCCTAGGCAACCTTACTTTCCTATAATTTCTTTGTCAAAGCCTCTGAATTAGTAACTGAGGAACAGAGGTTTGCTTATTAATAGTTTTGAAGGGGTAGCACAGTGGTCTGCACCTCCTTTCTAGGTCATTTAAAACTAACATTTTCTTTGTTTGGAAATTCTTAGTTGAAAGTCCTCTGAAGCTAATAGCAGATCAGGATTTGGCACTGTTAATATTTCAAGTTACTAACTTTCCAGGAAATTTGAAAAGCTCTAGTCTTTATCAGATTTGGGAGCATAAGAGAAATGTCCTTCCAGTACATATTACTGTCCATATCCTTGTGCATGCCAACTTCACACGATTCTCCAGCAGCATCTAAAAATCCAATGTAAATGAGATTTCTCCTAGCAGCTTGCACAGGCCATGAATTCAGAATTTCAAAAAACATTAGGTATCCCTATCTACATGCTCAGAAATTGGAATTGAATCTAGTATTTCTCCAAATGCTTAGCTCCTTGGGAAGCTTATGGGCAGCAGGGTAATAAAGGGACTTGTTCTTGCCTTGTTTGTTTGTTTCAATAAAATATTTGCTGCATCTCAATGCATTGACCTGCACATTTTTAGGTGTCACTTTTACAAAAATTTCTGAGATTTAATTTAGAAAAGCTGATGCTGGGTTTCTCTGGAATCCCCTCCAGCTGTAAAAGCCTTTTATGATCTGTATTTCTCAAATTAAAGTTTCGGGCTGAGACCCCACTTACCAGGGAAAGCCGATGATTTATACAGTATGAGAAGAGGCAGAGCAGGATTTGTCTGTAGAAAAGCGGTGGGGATTTAACCGCGTTTTCAATCAGTGCTGTTAGCAAGACGTGGGGAGGAAGCAAATGTGATAGGAAGCAAAAGTATTTCAAACATAATCAAGTAAATGAACCAGTTCTTTAGGGAGACTGGCTTGTACATAAAAATGGTACACAGTTTATTCTTAAGACTGATAATGCTTGTGGGAGTACTGAATGCTCTGAGAACCATGAAATGAGTGTTGTAAAGATCTGCCTGGGAGGATGGCTGTTTGTTTCTGCTGCAGGAGTGTATGCAGGAGTTAGTATCTTTCTTTTGGACTCAAAACTTTGGCATTTTGTCTTCTGAGGTTCTGTGCTAAAGGGTTGACTGGTTCAGTTCAAGATCTATCTAGAAATAAAAGGACTAATTTTTCAAGAGATGTTACCAGAAGACTTGTAAGCAGAGGTAGAGAAGTCTTTTTAGGGGACTGATTTGTATGTTGGATGTTTTTGTTGAATACCTGGTAAGAGTAGACAGTATCTGATAAGAGAACCACGACTGTAGTCTTGGTTTAGGGGCTTGATTAAAATTCACATTCTCTCAGACTTTGTTTTCCCCCTTCTCTGCCCCCAGCCACATTCTCTTGTACTCCGGAATTCCCTGTCCCTTGTGTTTATAATATGAAAGGACAATTCTACTCTTTGGGGTGGTTGTTTCTTTTTGTTTCTATGCTGTGCAGGAAACTAGGAGACTGCTGTAGGGCCCAGCCATACAGACCATCGTTGCCGTTCTGTTCAGCATCTGCAGCTTCACTGTGTGACACCAGGAGACAGTGACAGGGTGTAGAATGGAACACATAGGAGGAAATGAGAAGTCAGTTTGTGCCATAGCTTTATACTTTGTTTAATGAGGCAGCTGATTCTTTTATGCAGAGCCAGCTGAGTGACTTCAGGACCTCTAAAGTCCTTTTGCAAGGTTCTTCAAACACCTTGGAGACTCCATGGAAGCTGTGCAGTAGTATTTGCTGCAAACAGTTAAAGGTTTTCTTTTGTGTTTAGTAGGCTTGGGTGGTTAGCAGCTATTTGAAACAGATTTGACTGAAAAGACTTCAGGGTTTGAAAGATGATTGGAAAAGTTTGGCTTAAACCTATTCCTGGAAAAAGAGCAGAAAATGCAGAAACTAAATTAATGTTCTCTTTTATTCATGTTAAAGAGATTTAAAATCCCGTATGCTACATCTGGCAGAAGAGATGACTTCTGTTTTTCTTTTGACATCTGGAAGATAAGTCTTCTGTCTAGATTTCTTTATACTTCAAAAATTCCTAGAGAAACCCTTTTAAACTTGCCCTGTTGAGACATTTGGTAGGACTGTGTCATACTTCAAGTAACGTGGTAGCTATCTTTCTTTCTTTTTTCAAAATTATTTGTTGCTAAATAAGTTAAAATTATTATGTATTTCTGACTTCCCAAAACCTTGAAACATCTCAAAATTATGAATGGTGAAAATCCATAAACTGTTCTGTTTGTGCTTGAAAGTGGGAAATATCTTGAAATTAGCTAAAGCGTCCCTTAGAGGTCACTTAGTGGTGTCCCTCAAGGGTCCATACTGGGACCAGTGTTGTTTGACATCATCAGTGACACAGTGGCACCGAGTCACCCTCAGCAGGTTTGCTGACGATACTGAGCTGGGTGGGGCAGGTGACATGCCAGAGGGACAGGAGGCCATCCAGAGGGACCTGGACAGGCTGGAGAAGTGGGCTCAGGTGAACCTCATGAGGTTCAACAAGACCAAGTGTGTGGTCCTGCACCTGGGCAGGAACAACCAGATTACCACTACAGGCTGGGAGAGGACATGTTAGAGAGTAGACCACTGGAAAAAGACTTGGGGGTACTAGGAAGTGAGAAGTGGGACACGAGCCACCAATGTGCAGTGGCAGCCCAGAACACTAACCAAATCCTGGGCTGCACCAAGAGAACCGTGGCCAGCAGATGGAGAGAGGTGATCCTGCTGCTCTGCTCTGCCCTGGTGAGACCTCCCCTGGAGTCTGTGTCCAGCTCTGCAGCCCCAGCACAGGAAGGACGTGGAGCTGTTGGAGTGTGTTCAGCAGAGAGCCACAAAAATGCTGCGAGGGCTGGAGCAGCTCTGCTGTGAGGACAGGCTGAGGGAGTTGGGGCTGTTCAGCCTGGAGAAGAGGAGGCTCTGGGGGGACCTTATAACAACCTTCCAGTACCTGAGAGGGGCCTACAAGAAAGCAGGGGATGGACTGTTCACAAGGGTTCATAGTGACAGGATGAGGGGCTATGGTTTAAGATAGAAAAAGGGAGATTTAGGTTGGACATTAGGGAAAAGTTGTTTAATATGAAGGTGACAGACCACTGGAATAGGTTGCCCAGACAGGTGGTGGAGGCCCCATCCCTGGGGACATTCAAGATCAGGTTGGATGAAGTTCTGAGTAGCTTGATCTAGTTGGAGATGTCCCTGCTTATGGCGGGGGAGGTTGGTTATATGTCCTTTTGGGGTCCCACCTTTGGAGGTCCCTTCCAGCCCAGACATTCTATGATTCTATTAAAGTGAAGAACTGTAAAACTAGATTTTTTTTTTGGCATTGTCTGCATTACATGTAAAGAGAACTCTTTTTAAATCATAAATGATAAATCATACTGTCTTTGTCTTACATAAAACCTGAGATCTTGGTGTCACATAGTTAAAAATCATGTTTTTTAAGGGAAAATTGAATTTTTCATTTAACTTACATGCTGTTGGAGAAAAGTTTTAAGTACTACCACATCTAGCTCCAAACTTACAAAATTAACTTTTGTGTCAACTATTTTATATTATTTAAATTGGCCTGTTTCAGACTTTTTGGCTGTTCGGATTTAGCAGTTTTGAAAAAAATAAAGAATAAAAGATTTAGTATATAAATTTTTTTAAAATTCTTTTTTTCTTGTGATTTTAGGATAAAGGCAGTACCTTGCTGAGCGTCATCCATGGAAACATAAAAAAAGATAAAATTAAACAATGCTTTTTCTTTTGCAGATTAGTTCTAATATTTTCAGAACACTTCCACCTAGTGATAACCCTGATTTTGATCCAGAAGAAGATGAACCAACTCTTGAAGCCTCATGGCCCCATATACAGGTGTGTGATCAATTTATTTTCAAGCATTCTTGTAAGGCAAGAACCATGAATGGATACTTGAGTCATTTTGGGCCTGTGGTAAGAGTGTCAAAGTTGCTTTTATAACACAATTGAGTTTCTGTACTTGGGAGGGGAAGAAAAGTGGTGCTTCTCTTGTCATTAAATAATGGCAGAATGTAAGTCTTCCAAATTGCCTAAATACTCTTTTTGGTAAAAATTGAGTGATTGCACTGTTGAAGTGTGGTGTACATATGTCTTAAAAATACATGGATGTTTTAGGTAATTATGTCCTCTACTCAAGAGGTTTGCTTTCTGCACGTGAGCCACTTTGTGTGATTTCCATAAAAGACAAGTGGATGTTAACAGTTGAGTTTCTTGTGACAGTGACAAAAAATGGAGTAATAGCCTTTATTTGTCTTTTGAGCAGGAAGTAAATATCTCCTCATTCTTCCCACCCTCTTCTCTCCCTTCATGAAACAATTTTACAATGTAGGCATTGTTGTTGGGTAACAGCTGGTTAGTTATTCTGTTGTTGCACTCCTGTGCCAATCTCATGATTTTTATAGCATTGCTGTATCAATCACGTGACTGACTTGTAATACTGCTGATTTTTTTTTTTTTTTTCCAATTAACTGTTAAGTTGAACAAACCTGAATCACTTGTGATCATCCACGTTCATATCTTGGGTAGTTCATTACTGAGTTTATGTAAGTAGTATCTGTGAAATAAAAGTTATGTAGCAACTCGTAGTAGTGGGCAGAAGATTAAAAGTTCACTTGTGCTTGAGGCTTATCTTTAGAGATTTGTAGCTGATGGTATTATTTGAAGCTTTTTTTTTTTTTGCTTTTTCCTTTGCCTTTTTCTAAATGGCTTTGGCCAGGCTGTCTGATCATTGGTTGTGGACTTTCCTCTTCTGCCTCTGTTGTTTGTCGTGTCCTTGGAATTGGTTGCTCAGTACAGCAAAATAGAAACAGATTGTTTTCCTCTTGTTTCTTTTAAAGTTCAGTTGCTACTGGATGGTAGAAGACTGAGTTTGGTAACTTACCAGTTGCCTTCCAGAAGCATCGATCTGCTTGGAAGCATCAAATTTTCCCTGTGGAGGAAGGCACTGTGTGCACCCATTCCTCTGCCCCATATCAAAAGTGATGGCTTTTGATATATATTTTAAAGAACTGCTGCAGGGAGTGGGTGGCTGTGATTTGTGATTGTGTAGTTCAAACTCAGAATTCTGTCTTGATCTGACAGTCAGGTAGCCAGTTTTCTGGGAGGGAAAATAAAAAAAATCTGTGTCTTTCCTCTGCTTAAGTCTGTTGGCATTTGTCTATAAAACAACATGATGACTTAGTAAGTGACCATTGTGTGTAGTCACAACAGACTCTAGACCTTCAGTACAATGAGTGCCACTCATACATTGCTTTCAGCCAGTACTCAGGGTGGTTTGTGACAGCCAGACTAGGCTGAACAGATTGGCATTAAAGCCACAGTAGATGTTGAAGCTTGTGGAGTTGCAGAGTTGGTTGAATAGTAGCTTGAAGCAGTAATGTTTTAGTGGTCTCTGCATGAAAGAAGATGGATTTGCCAAAGTAATAGGTGTTCTATTTCGTTACTGTTTGACCTAAGCAGACCAATTTTGAGAACCAAAATAACCTAATCCAACAGTTTTCCCCTGGATTAGTGTTTCCAATGGTAATGCTTCAGGTAAACTCAAGAAAGTTAAGCATACTTGTCTCGTATTTATATTTAGGTAGGAGCAGCCAGTATCTGTTGTGTGTGGAAACCATTCTTGTCCCCATAGTTGATAGCTGTGTTTCTACGTTTGCAAACATAAGCAAACAGGAGAAGGGAGAGGCCAGCTATCCAGAAATGGCCATTGCAATTTTCTTACTAAAATGCCTCGGGTAAAGCTTCATGGATTTCCCAAGGATTTCCAAAGTTATTTGATACCTTTTACCAGCTGTACATGTTGGTAGGAGCAGTAGTACTAATTATCAGGAAGCTAGACAATCCTGTAAGCATTAGAACTGCATAAATACTCCTGTGCACACAAAGTCCCTGCAATCTCAGAAACTGGATTTTTGAGCACTAAATTCTGTTGTGGTGGTGGTGTTGGTGTTTTTTTTGTTTCTGAAAACTCTGTAAGAACATAAGCAACGATCACGGCTCTGGAATTCAATATGTTTATATGAAGCATTCAGATGGTTACTAATGTGTATTATCCCTGTATTAGAAATGAGACATGTAACTGATTTGTCATGTATTGAGACTCTTACGTGAATATTGACTTATTCAGTCAATAACAAAAACTAAACTTAATCTTGGACAGCTTGTACCAAGATGTTACACCATTATGCTTTAACTTAGTTCTCATGCTTAATGTTTATCACAGTCCCTGTCTCTATGGAAAGAACTGAAATAAGTAATTAATACTCTTAGCTATAGTCTAACAGTAAGCCTCATGCTTACTGCTTGTTCCCCCAGATGTCAGGTAGGTCACATACTGATGTAGAGTGTGTGATGAACAACTACTCACTTACGCTCTAAGCCCCCTCAATTGGGCTAGAGGCAAGATAAACTGCTTGTGTGTTGTTAAAGCCCCTGCAAACTGGGTGATTAGAGCTGAACTGGGAGACAGGAGGGACTGAAACTTCTGAAACTTCTTGATAAGATGGACACCTTTCAAGGTTGACAGGAACCATTTGGTTACAACAGCCTGTTCTCAGATTAAAAGTAAAGAGATCAACCCTGAGGAAGACTCGGAGCCTTCATCCTGAAGACCC